GTACAGCTAGTTGGATCCATAATTAACGACCTTTGTGAATGCATGACATTTTTCCTTTGATTCAGTCAAACAAACTCACTCCAATGCGTCCAACTGTTGGCCAATCAGCGTGCATGCGAGAAACGTGTGAACGTCCAATCAGCTGCCGCCTTTCCTTGCGGCAGCCTAACGGCTTCCTTGCTGGGCTGGCACCGCACGTTCGTTCGAGTGTATACTCCCATCACATCCTCCCTTTTTTCATGTTCTTGCTGCTGTACTTTGCTAAATAGTCCATACACTTTACCACTCCGCGTCCTCTTTGTTGGATCTGCCGATGTCGCCTCATTGCCGCACGCAGTATAACGCTCTCTCCCTGATTCATGCTGTCGCCTCGGACATCTCCTCAGCTGTACTCGGTTTCTTCTCAGCTTCTTCCCTCCAACATTTACTTCGTATGACCTTTCACCGACTTTCGCAGCCACGACTCCTTTTCTCCACCGCTCCTGTCCATCGGGAATTGGTTCAACCCATACTTCTTCCCCCACTGTCAGCTCAGGTAATTCCCGTGCGCCGTTGTCGTAGTACCGTTTCTGAGTAGCCATTCGCCTTTTCAAACTGTTCTGTACTTTCTCAAGTTGTGGCGTGACAGGGCGCAGAAGTGTTGCGGATGCAGGCATCACAGTTCTGGTCCTTCGACTGTATAGGCGCTGCACTGGGCTCAGGCCGATATCCGTTGAAGGAGTGTTGCGACTCTCCAGTAGCATGAGGTATGGGTCCTCCCGAGTATCTCTAGCCTTCGCTAATAGTCGCTTGGCTTGCTTCACTGCCGACTCTGCCTTCCCATTTGATTGACTGTGATAGGGACTGGTTTGCCGGTGTGCGAATTCCCATTTGGTTGCGAAAGCCTGGAATGCCCTGCTGCTGAACTGGGGACCGTTGTCCGAGACTAGCTCCTCCGGTATCCCGTGCCGTGCGAATTGACATCTGAGTTTGTTGATTACTGCCTCCGTGGTCGTGGTGGTGAAGTAAATCGATTTCAAAGTAATCACCATAGTAGTCCACCGTGCGTAAGTAATCCTTTCCGTTGTCCCAGAATAGATCCACTGCTACCTTTTGCCACGGTCGGTCCGGAACATCATGCAGCATCATCGGTTCCTTCGTTTTCCGAATGTCGTGTGAACGGCGCGCCTCACAGTTAGACACATGTGTGCTTGATCTGACCTGTCATTCCTGGCCAGAACATCAGTTCTCTTGCTCGATTAATGGTGTAATTTGCACCCAGGTTAGCGCGATGGACAGCTCCAGCATCTCCTTTCGGAGAGAAGAAGGGATTAGGATTCGACTTCCCTTGAACAACAAACCGTCGCAGACAGTGAGTTCGTCCTGAAAACTGAAGTAGGGGGTTAATTCCTTCGGGAGCTGCTTCTTTGTTTCTGGCCACCCATTGAGGATAACGTCTCGCAAAGCTGCAAAAGTTTGGTCTTCCTCCGTGAAACGCCTTATGTATTTCAAACGGTTATCTGTCACTGCCAGATGCTGCACCATGCTAACTGTCTCGATCTCTTCTAGATGATGTTCGGCCACTGGCGGATGTGCTCTCGACAGGGTGTCCGCGATGAACATCTGTGTGCCAGGTGTGTACACAATGTCAATGTCATACTTTTGGAGCCGGATAAGCATACGCTGCAGACGGCGAGGAACGTTATTCAGTGGTTTAGTGGCTATCGACACCAGCGGCTTATGATCAGTGTACACGGTTGTCTTTCTTCCAAAAGTATAATCATTGAAACGCTCCATGGCATAGACCACTGCCAGCATCTCTTTCTCGATCTGTGCGTACCGCTTCTCGGCCTCTGTGAGTGCTCGACTGCGGAAATCCAAAGGTCTTCCGTTCTGCAACAGAACAGCACCTATTCCACTCTGGCTACTATCACACTGTACCTCCAATGGTTGTGCTGGATCGTAATATCCGAGTACGGGCGCATTACTGATAAGGTTCTTAATGGTTGCGAAAGCCAAATCCTGTTCCTGCCCCCAGCTCCAATTTACTCCTTTGTGAGTTAACTGCCTGATCGGAGTCATGCCATCAGCGAGTTCTGGTAGGAACCGGCTTAAATAATTCACCATACCGTTTAGACGCTGGACTGCCTTCACATCGTTATGGG